TAACTACAAAACAAAACGAAATATCAACCTGTGTTTTTTTTGCCCATTAATCATTATTACCGCCAAACACAAGTATTGATTTGAAACCAAATGATAATAAAACAACTCTTGAAATTTCCATTTCCTATAAATATCTATTATTAGATTGAAAAAGCGGTTTTTTGTTGTCGTTGTTTGGCCTAGGATTCACTGACAACAACAACGAAAAAGTGGTCATGTTTTGTTTTTGCTGTTAATTATTTTTGAAACAAAAAAGAAAATGCAAATTATCATCATCATTACAGGGATAATAATGTAAAATGACAATGTTTTTTTTCTAATATTCAAATATTATTATGGATCTCATTAATGTTTTTGAAACAAAACAAAACACACAGTCAAAATAGAAACTCAATCTATTTTAATGTTTTCAGTGTGATACAATAATCATCATATAGTCGTCCACCCATTAGCAACAGAATCATTCCACCAAAAAAAACTGTCATTATCATCATGTTTTTTTTTTGTTTTTTTGCTAGAATCGATTACTAAACAACCATTTTTTTGCTGTTGATGATACACTGGTAAAAGAGCGATTCTATTTTCATATATAGAGAGAGAGATTCATGTCAATAATCAAGGTTATTTGTTGGACTTTTTTTTGTTGGTTCTTTCCTATCATACATAATGTTTCACTTGGTTAAACAAACAAATAAACATGATTAGAATAAATTGACCATAAAATTTTTTTGTTCTGTATATGATTATGGGACAAATGCAGAAAGATGTGCATTCAATTTTTTTTCATTTGAAAATTTTTTCACGAAAATGAAAATTTCCGAAAAAATTTTCCATCAACCACAAATGTTGATCGATTTTTTTTTTGTTTTTTGTTTTTTTGCATTATCGGACTATTCGGAATGAAATTTTTGATTTTGGTATTTTTATTCAGTTGAATTAATTCATTTTTTTTCGTTTTTCTAGCTTAACACCAACCAAGTATCATTCAGAACCAAGAAAAAAAAACCAAAACAATTTTCAGCCAAAATGACGATGATGATGATTGCACCAACAGCAACGCTGGAAACAGTAACAATCGTACGACCATTAAAGGTTTGTTTCATTCATTTGAATTTTTCAAGATTTTGTATTTCTGTATTTTTGTATCTCACTGATTTGTTTTGTTGTATTGGCCTTGTTTGGTCGAAGAAACATTTCCAATTTCTTTATTTTTTCTCATTGTTATAATATTTGTTATATTTGATAACATTTCCCTCATCATATTCAATGACGATTGAAAAAAAAATTCAATCAATGCTGAACAAGCAAATATGTTTTGATCATTTCAATCGTTGTGTAGAAGAATTGTCAATTGTGTGAGCAAAAAAAAATCGATTTAAATTTGGTCGAATTGGTTCATTGGAGAACGAAAAGAAAAAAAATCCACAATCCAAAAAACCATAAAAAACGATTTTATTCTTGAACGAATCCGGGACAAAATTGATTTTCCACTTTTTCCCAATTTTTTTTACGTTTTGGACCATGCAAATTGCTTTGTTGTTGTTGTTTATGCATCGGTGATATTTTTCAACAACAACAAAAAGAAATAAAAATTGCCAAAGCAATATTTGAGAGGTATTTGAAATATTGAAAAACTTTTATGACATTTTTTTCTAAAAAAATAAAATTTTTTTTTTAAATCAATGCAGTGAAGCTTGCTTGTCGTGATTTGAAATTTTTTTTCTTGTTCACCATTATCATATTCCAAACGATAGATGTCGCTATCAGTTTTGGAATTATTTTTTTTTTCTCACTATCAAAATCAAAGCGGGATACAAATCAAATTAAGTTTTTTATTTTATTTTCATTGTTTGTAATGATGATTATAATTTAATTGCTGGTAAATCCAACAGCAGCAGCAGATGTTATTGTTATATGTAACAGTTGGTTTTAACAGATTACACAGAAATTTTCCAATGATAATAATTGAAATTGATCCAAAAAAAAATCAATTTGATTATTAAGAAAAAAAGAGAAATATTTTTCATATTCCCATGATGCTTTCGATGGAAAGTTTTTTTTTATAACTACAGAAACAGTATTCCCACCTTTAAACTATTCATTATTCTGGACACGAATTTTGGGAATATAATTCTTATTATTATAATAAAGTTATATATGAAATGAGAGAGAAAGAGAGAGAGAGTGAAACAATAGAATACAAGAATATCTAAATGATAAATTGGTTGATTTATAAAACACACACACACACATACCAATATATGATGCCTAACAAATCATTTTTGCTGGAAAAAATTATTATAACCAACGAATGAATGAGAAAAATCATTGAAGATTCAAGCAAGAAGCAATTATTCCTCTCAAAAGACATTAGTTTTTTTGTTGTTGTTGTTGTTGTTGCAAACCATATCTATCTATCTAAATGATATGTTTATGGCCTTGTTTGGTTTTTTATTATTTCATTTCTCACATGAATAAATGACGCCGGTTTTAGCTGTTGTTTTTTGTCGCTGTTCTGTTGTTCTATTTTTTTCAATCAAAATGATTGAAATGAAGCAATAAAATGGGTGAAAACGAAAAGCAAAACATGCATGCAAAAAGCAAAGAGACTACTGTAATTTAATCATTTGGAAAAGATTTAGCCAACAAAAAAAGCGTGTGTTTGTGTTTGAGGTCGAGGTTCATCATTAGATTGAGGCAGCCGAAATTCAATAATCATGTATACAGGAGAGATTGATTTTCTCTTTCGGGTATTATTTAATTATCAGAAATTTACAATGGAAAAAAATACTTCTTTGTCTTTGTTTCGTTGGATTAAATATAGATTTGAAATGAAAGAAAAAAGAAAAAAGAGAAGAAAAGAAAATTTGCTAATAATCAAAATCAATCGAATAATAATAATGATGATCATCAAAAACATTTTCATTAAAACGATGTACCGAAGGATTAAGAAAATATGTACATTATGGATTTTTCCATTTGTTTTGCTCCCCCCATCAAAAAAAATAAGAATGGAAAAAGAATTTATTTACATTGCTTATTCCGTTTCGTTTCGTTTCTTTTTTTTCTGGTTATTTGGATTCATCTAAGCAAAGCAAAAAGGAAATAAAATGAAAAAAAATAAAAAACATTCAAGTTTGAAAAATTACACCAATTTTATGTAAGACATTTCTTTTTTTTTTTTGCTTGTTTGGCTTTCTTGTTGTTCTTGCTGTTTTGGGATTCAGGAAGCAAAATTCTTTTTTTCGTTTTTTGGTTTTGGTTTTTTTCCATTCATTCATTTCATTTATTCTCTATCATTTTTGTTTGTCTGTCGATGTTTGTTGCCTGTCAGTTTTCTGATGTTCAATGATGATGATGATGATGATTGTTATAAAAAAAAACAAAGCTTTTTCTCTCTCTCTGACTACCCCCCGGTTGTATTTTTTACTAAAGTAAGTAGCCGGCGCCATTCTTTTTTTTCTTTTTTTTGGTATTCCCCGTACCGTTTAGTTTTATATAAGATTTTAACTATAGAAACAAAAAAAAACCAAAGAAAAAAAATTAGGAAAAAAGCCTTTACTTTTTTTTCTTTGATATTCCTGGGCGCCATTCATTCATTCATTCATCCATCCATCCATTATTCTCTGTATTTTCATAGTGATTCAAAATTTATATGAAAATGTTTCACATATACATTTTTTTTCAGTTGTTGTTGGCTGTGAAGCAAACAACAACAAACATGCATTTACAGAATTTACCAGATATACAAAAAAAACCGGCTCTATTTTCGGTCTTTTTTTTATCTAATTTTTTTTGTTGTTGTTGCTTATTCTCTGCTATCTATCATAGTTATATAGAACCGATGAGACTTTTTTTGGTTGGAACAATGGTTTGTACATGGCGCCCAAATCATCATACCATTAGATTGATGTGTGTGAAGCACACGCGCACATGAAAATTGATAAGAATTTGGATAGATAGAATAAATGAATGTTTTTAGATATAAGTCTTTTTCATTTGTTCAAAATGAAATGATGATTCAAGTGAAATGAGAAAACAAAACAAAACCAAACAACAAAAAAACAACAAGATTCACATATCACAACGGCCATGTTGTTTTTTTCCTCTTATTCTCTCATTCTCGCGTTTGTTTTTTTGTATAGGAACAAACACACTTGCACATACTTCAAACAAAAAAAAGCTTCTTTTATCCTGGAACAAGGAATATCCTCAACAAATATACATTTTGATAGTAAAAAGTATTGTGTTGGAGATATATAATATGGCACTGCTATTTAATGATGGCGCCAAATATCCAACGAAGAAGAAAAAACCCATAGATCTTTATTGAACACATGCGTGAATTTTTCTGGTATAGTGAAGATTCACATTTTTTGTCTTTTGTTGAGTTGATCAGTTCTCAGGTCCGAATTTTTCAACTCTCTCTCTCTCTCACTCTCTCACTCGCTTTCGGTGCCTGGAAACGAACATTTTTTTTGGTGAGTAAAATAAAATGAAATAAAAGTAAAAAAACCCCTCGAGCCTAAGGAACATACAATGTATGTGTGGGTAGTTTTTTTTTTGGTTGTTTAGTTTTTCTGACAAACATAGGTTCCACTTCTTTCATTTTTTTTTCTTCTTCTTCTTCTTCATTCGATTAGTGAATTTTCATCATCACTAGAGTTACTGCTGCTGCTGCTGCTGATGCTGCTATTGATGTCTGTGATTGCCTGGATTTTTCTTTGTCTTTTTTCTTCGAATAAATGATAAAAAAAATTATGTAAAATTTAATTCTTGATAAAGATAAGATTATCATCATTATCATTATTATGGTGGTGGTGAACGGAAAAGTGTTGTTCAACGTTGTTCTTTACTATTTTTTCACGGTTTTAATATGATTTTCTTTGTTTAAAACTTTGAAACAAAAAAAAAAATTACATTTTTGTCAATGTGCGTGTATTTATTTCATTCATCATCATTATCATTATATAATAAAGTTATGGATTTAAAAATGACCGGTTTGTGTATTTGTGTGTGTATTTTCAAATTGAAATGAAAACAATGTTTTAAAAATTTTATGTTCATCATGAATGGTTTCATACCAAATACATTGAATCATGTTGTTGGTGGTGGTCAACAACAACAAGCTCCTGGACCACCACCGCAACAACAACCGGTTATTGTTATGAATGGAGCCATACCAAATCATCTTCATCATAATCAACAACATCAAAATCATTTACCAAATGGTTTTCATCATCATCATCAACAGCAACAGCATCCTGTTGTTCATTATGTACAGCATCCAAATCNGTTGATCAGTTCTCAGGTCCGAATTTTTCAACTCTCTCTCTCTCTCACTCTCTCACTCGCTTTCGGTGCCTGGAAACGAACATTTTTTTTGGTCTCATTTTATTTTACTTTATTTTCATTTTTTTGGGGAGCTCGGATTCCTTGTATGTATGTGTGTGTGGGTAGTTTTTTTTTTTTTTTTTTTGGTTGTTCAGTTTTTCTGACAAACATAGGTTCCACTTCTTTCATTTTTTTTCTTCTTCTTCATTCGATTAGTGAATTTTCACTGCTGCTGCTGCTGCTATTGATGTCTGTGATTGCCTGGATTTTTCTTTGTCTTTTCTTCGAATAATGAGAAAAAAAAATTATGTAAAATTTAATTCTTGATAAAGATAAGATTATCATCATCATCATCATTATGGTGGTGGTGAACGGAAAAGTGTTGTTCTTTGCTTTTTTTCACGGTTTTAATATGATTTTCTTTGTTTAAAACTTTGAAAAAAGAAAAGAAAACATTTTCGCCAATGTGCGTGTATTTATTCCATTCATCATCATTATCAAGTTATGGATTTAAAATGACCGGTTTGTGTATTTGTGTATGTGTATTTTCAAATTGAAATGAAAACAATGTTTTAAAAAATTTATGTTCATCATGAATGGTTTCATACCGAATACATTGAATCACGTTGTTGGTGGTGGTCAAGCTCCTGGACCACCACCGCAACAACAACAACAACAACCGGTTATTGTTATGAATGGAGCCATACCAAATCATCTTCATCATAATCAACAACATCAAAATCATTTACCAAATGGTTTTCATCATCATCATCATCAACAGCAACAGCATCCTGTTGTTCATTATGTACAGCATCCAAATCCACAACAACAACAACAAGGTCAACCTCAATTGATAATTCCAAATGGAAATGTGATACATTTGGCTCCAAGCCCACAACCACCACCACCACCATTGCCATCATTACAGCAACAAGGCGAAATTTATGTACAAAGACAGCCAAGAATAATGATGGTTAATGGTGGTATATCTGGTGCCATTTTACCTAATCAATCACAACAACAGCAACAACAATCAAATATTCGATTGGCTCCAAGAGCCCAACAACAACAACAACGTATGATTCGTTTAACTACAAACGGAACATATGCAGCAACTAATAATAATAATGGTAACGGTAATGTTACCGCTATTATTGGAACCAATAATGGTATTAATGGTTTACGAACACCACCAATATCAACAACATTAATATTAACAAAACAACCACCACCAAAATGTATACTTTGTTGTTTAGCTTGTTTTGGTATGGAATCATTATGGTTTAATCCTAATTTCCATTTTTCAAGAGTAAGCATCACTAATTTCTTTTTTCTTACTAAATGAATGAATAAATGAATGTTTAACAGAATAATTTCTTCATCTAAAACTTATGATAAAGAATCGCTATAAAGAAAAAGTTGAACATCAACAACATCTTTATAAATTTTCCACTCTAATTGTTCACATTATGTGTGGTTGTTTGGATAATAATAATAAATTTTGATTTGATTATTCGCTTGGGTTTTGTCCATATGATAGCTCCACATGGGATTCTTGTTTCATTCATTTTCATTGATCATGGTTGTTGTTTATGGTTTTTTTTCTTCATAGCACTGTGTGTTTGTTCGTCGAAAACTAGTGAATGAATTCGGTGTATGAAGAAACGAAATTATTCAATTCATTATCATTATTAAGAGTCTTTGATTTGAAAAGTTGATTTATTTGAATTTTTCATTAATTTTTTTCCATTTTTCATTTCTTTTCTTCAAAAAAACAATAGGTTATCGCATTAATATGTAACATTTTAGTTGATTTATTGATGATATTATGTTTATTATCAACAAATTGGTTAACAACAATAAAATATCGTCAAGGTCTTTGGCAATATTGTATAGATATTGATTCACCACGTCCATTACCATTTGGTCTTGATGATCATGATGGTTGCCATTGGGGACGTAATGCTGGTATGTTTTTATTTATTTTTTTCAATGAAATTTTTCAAAAAAAAATACATTTTTCAAATCATTACTTTTACTAATATTTTCATTATTTTCTATGAAAAACAAATTCTATTAGCTTATATAAAATTATCTGGATTTTTTGCTGTAGCATGTTTTTTATTGGCAATCATTGCAACAATATTAACTTCATTCGGTCTATCATCTCGTGATCCAAATAAAAAATATACATTTTATCGTTTTGCATTGTACATTAATCTTGGCGCTTGTAAGTTTTTTGTTTTTTACAAATAAAAAAATTATTATTATGATGATGATGATGATTATCGATCTGTATTTAATCAATATTTTCTTTTTCTCATTTTGTATTTTGTATTTTTCTTTTTTTGGGGGGTCTATTTCGACATCAAACATCATTATTATTATCATCAAACAACATTGTTTGTTGCATTTCATTGATAATAAATAATAATAATAGTGTTAGCCATAATTGTTTCATTAACATTATATCCGGCCTTTTTTTATTCCGAATTACATCATACAAATATGGTACCATCAAATCGTCCACATTGGTATTTTGGTTGGGCATATGGTGTTGGTTGGGGTGCGGCAATATTTTTAATTGGTGCCATTCTTCTATTAGTATGCGATAAAGAAACTGAAGAAATTTATTATCAAGAACGTACTATTGTACATGCTAATAATGGTGGTGCCAGTAATCATTTATTACAACATCAACATCAACATCAGTTAACGAATAATCATCATCATTCAAATAATCATCAACAATCGATCAAAGCTTGATTGAAAGAAACAAATGAAAGAATGTCCTCCTTCTTCTTCTTATTCCTTTTTCTGTCATCAACATTATCAACATTATTTCCATCCTTTTTTCCTTCACCTACCTCTCTCTTTTGATTATTTGCCATATTACACGATATAACAACCAACCAACCATCATTATAATATTGACGGATAGAGTAAGGTGATGATGATGATGATGAATTTTTTTTTAGAGATAAATTTATTTCCGGTGATGAATTTTTTAAATTATAAGCGTGGGTAGGTGTTTGCGTATGTAAATTGAAACAGTGTTTGTTTGTGTGTGTGTGTAGGTGTTAAATTTGTTGATTTTTTGATATAAATATTGTCTGTGTGTGTGTTTATTTGCTTCTGTTTTTCGTTTTGGTTTTCATTTTGTATCTGGTTATAATAAACGCTGGTTATAACATTATCATTGATGATAATGGAATTTATTTTTATCTTTTTTTCCATTTGAAGAAAAAACAATTCTTGCGTCATTTATTCTTATTATTCAGATAGTTTGATAAGAATTATATGGTCTTCTTTTTTTACAAGTTTCACTCCCACAACACATAAACACGAATGTAACCATTGGCAATTTAATTAACGTTATGTAATGTTTTTTTTTGTTGAATTCTGTTCTTCTTCTTTAACCCTTTGATTTCATTATCGTAACAAATTTTGTTTGTTTTTTTTAAAGTTTGATTTTTCCATTTTTTTTTCGTTTCGTTTTTCTGTTTTTTTTGGAATAGAATAAATCATTAACACACACGAATATATAAAATGTCAAAAAAGAAAATCAAAGTAAACAGATTCCTTTCCCCCATTCTTTTCTAAAATAATAATTTTGTATAAAATAATGTTCAGCCTTTGAAATTTACAACATCATTCAAGTATCATCAATTGTCGAAAATTCATTTGTCACACTTACCATCATCATCCATTATCATTGTGCCGGGTCAACAACAACAAAAAAAAATTTGTTTCCATTTTTGTTTCCAATCTCTTTTGCCCATTTAATTGTAAATATATATGAAGATTCTTGGATTAATTCGAATAAAATTCTATTTATTATTGGCAGCAAAACTCGCGAGTTTTTCACAATTTTTGTTTATCATTTCAGAATTTTCCAAAGATTCGAGATTCTATCAAAATCTACTGCACATTTATTTACAAGTGATTTTATTGCCATCTGGTGTAAGAAAAATCGAATGATCAAAATTGATTCGAATTTGTTTCATTTTTTTTCTCTCACATAAATTCGAATCAAAAAATAACGTCATCTTTTGGCAAGAATTTCAATTTTTCGAATGTTTCAAAATCAAATCAATAGATGGCATTACGATTTCCAAAAAAAACAAAAAATTTCTACTTTTTTTAAAAAAAAAGTGACAAACCAGAAGCTAAAAACGAACAAACAAACAAAAAACTAGATCAAAGGCGGTCCGAAAATGAATGACACTAAACACAGACTACGATATATATACCTTTTCTAATGACATCGTATATAATGGAGGAGGCTGAACCCAAAATTTAAATGGGGATAACAAAAAAAAAAAAATCAAACAAACCAAACACACATACATCTTGTATATCTTTTGTCATCATCATTCATTGTCGCCAATGATGAAAAAAAATCAGTGAAGGGAGAGAGGAAAAAGCTTTATTTTTTTTCTTGCCCTGCATATCATATTTTTACCGCCATCATCACCTCCTACACAAACACACACACACACAGACATCAGCATCATTGAAATGGCCAATACATCCGCATTCGAATAAGAGAGAGAGAGAGAAAAGCCGAGCATTGCGGTTGCTTCATCATTGGCATCAATGAGACCAAACACCATTTTAGCTTTTTAGTTTTTATCCATTAAACCATACATTTATATCATAAATTGTCCCGCCTTTTTACTCTCTCTCTCCCTCTCCTCTCTAATCTATGTGAATTAGAAAAGAAAAAAAATCTTGTAATTTTTTTTTTGAATTTATTTTTCCGCCGTTTTTTTTTCCATTGATGATAATCATCATCAATGTTTCGCACAATGTTCAATAGATTGATGATCGTAAAGAACTGAGAACCTCTATCATTTTTGAAGTGATTAAGAATTTTTTTTTTGGTAGTGTGTTATTATTGATGAAAATCTGGAATTTGGATCGATTAACATTTTCCAATTGAATAAATTAAAAATTTTGTTTGTTTATTTGTTTATTTATGAGAATTTTTAACACATGTTTTTTTGTTTTGTTTCTTAAATCATCACGTGTTTTTTTTTGGTTTTGGTTTTTGTTTTGGATAAAAAAGTTATTAATTTCTTTTCTAGTCAACATAAGAATTTCTGTCGTATGTTTTGCTCTCATCATCAGCCTGAAGGTAAATTTGTGAAATTTTTCAGGAAAAATTTAAGCAGAAGATCATCATCAAAAAGACCAAAAAAATTAATTAATTTTCAATCAACCGAATAACCGATGTTTTGATGCCAACAGATGTTATGATGATGAAGAAATGAACATATTTCTGGTCTACAGACGAAAAAAATATTCAATTTGTAAAAATTCTTCCATTTTTTGTTTCAATTAAATCATGTCGACTTCATCAACTTCGTCATCATTATCAATACAGCAATTATCACCCGAATCATCATCATCAACAAATCAATCAAATAGATTGGTTCAATCACCATTGAATGATTCATTATTGATGAATCATCATCATCAACAACAACCACATCAATATGAACTTTTATTAGATCAAAATCATCAACAACAAAATTCTGATGATTATTATAATGATTTATCATATCAAACATCACCATATACAACGAATACAATGATAATGTCACCCGATTCATTTCATTCATATAATCATCAGCCGCATCATCANCACACAGACATCAGCATCATTGAAATGGCCAATACATCCGCATTCGAATAAGAGAGAGAGAAAAAAGCCGGGCATTGCGGTTGCTTCATCATCATCATCATTGGCATCAGTGAGACCATTTTAGCTTTTTAGTTTTTATCCATCAAACCATACATTCATATCATTTTTCGATCCCGCCTTTTTACTCTCTCTCTCTCTCTCCCTCTCCTCTCTATCTATGAGAATTACAAACGAGAAAAAATCAAGTAATTTTTTTGAATTTATTTTTCCGCCGTTTTTTTCCATTGATGATAATCTTCATCAATGTTTCACACAATGTTCAATGTTCATTGATGATCGTAAAGAATTGAGAACATCTATCATTTTCGGGGTGATTAAGTAAGAATTTTTTTTTGTGGTGGGTTAATTGATGAAAATCTAGAATTTGGATCGATTAAAATTTTCCAATTGAATAAATTAAAAATTTGTTTGTTTTGTTTGTTTATTTATGAGAATTTTCTAACACATGTTTTTCGTTTTTGTTTTCTTAAATCATCACGTGTTTCGAATAAAATTCATTCTTTTCATTCTTGCATCTAGTCAACATAAGAATTTCTGTTGTATGTTTTCATCATCAGCCTGGAGGTTAATTTGTGAAATTTTTTTTTCCGGAAAAATTTGAAGATTAAAATCATCACACAAAAGACAAAAAAATTAATTAATTTTCAATCAACCGAATAACGATGTTTTGATGCCAACAGATGTGATGATGATGATGAGGAAATGAACATATTTCTGGTCTACAGACGAAATAATATTGATATTTGTTTTTCAATTTGTAAAAATTCTTTCATTTTTTTTCTCGATTAAATCATGTCGACTTCATCATCATCATCATTACAGCAATTATCACCCGAATCATCATCATCATCAACAACAACAAGTTGTTTAGTTAGTTTATCTAACCAAGTTAGTGGTAACTTACTAAGTAATAACTAGAATCATCATCATCAACAACAACCACATCAATATGAACTTTTATTAGATCAAAATCATCAACAACAAAATTCTGATGATTATTATAATGATTTATCATATCAAACATCACCATATACAACGAATACAATGATAATGTCACCCGATTCATTTCATTCATATAATCATCAGCCGCATCATCATCTCAATCCAAATAGTCATCACCAACAACAACAACAACAACAACCAAAACAAAAACATTCAGATTCATCTGATCATCATTCAATATTGAATGAATGTTGCATAACAACAACAACAACAACAACAAATTCAATAAATAATGATACGGATAACCATACGGCAATGATTAACGCAGATAATATAAATCAATCATCATCTACTACTATCACCACTACTATTAATGATGATAATATTACTAATGATACATCATTATTATCAAAAGAAATAGTAAAACCACCATATTCATATATTGCATTAATTGCAATGGCCATACAGAATGCACCAAATAATAAAGTAACATTAAGTGGTATTTATCAATTTATAATGGATAAATTTATATTTTATCGTGAAAATAAACAAGGTTGGCAAAATAGTATTAGACATAATCTTTCATTGAATGAATGTTTTATAAAAGTTGCACGTGATGATAAAAAAACTGGTAAAGGTAGTTATTGGACATTACATCCAGAATCATTTAATATGTTTGAAAATGGTAGCTATTTAAGACGTCGTAGAAGATTTAAAAGAAAAAATGAAAAATTATTAGCTTCAAATCGTTTAAAATTGATTAAACGTACAAGAAAATCAAAAACGAAATTGGCAAAAGAAAATGATAAAAATCCAACATCTACACAGATCAATGAATCATTTGATTGTCCACCACAAAATTCAAAATCACTAGTTACGATCAAAGATTTACAACAACAACAATCCGACCAGAATGATTTGAATCCAAGAGATCAACAACAACAACATTTACAATATTATTCAATAACAACTACTGATATTGATGATGATAAAACAATTGAAAATTGTCAGCCAAACAATGATTCTAAATGTGAAATCAATGATTCTTCAACAACAGTAAAAAATTCAAATATTCAATGTTTGTTTAATCAAACAAAGTCGACAAATGATTCAAATCAACATTATCATCATCAACAAAATCAGCTGCCATCAGCTACAATCAAACATTATCCAACATTATCAAATCAACATTACTATGATGAATGTTCTGTTTCTACTGTTGCGAATTCTCATTACAATAATATTGATGCGGATAATGATGGATCAATAGATTATTATTCGATTTCTCATCCACATCAACAGCAACAATCCTCATCAAATGAATATTGCAAAACATCAATCAACAATGATTACTATAATCGACAACAACAACAACATTCAATTGATTCATCAACAATAAAATCTTGTCAGCATCATCATCATCCGCATCAGTTATCCTCAATCAATAGCAATACATTTCCATTAGAATATCCATTATCGATTGTTGTTCCAACCAATCAAATTGTTAATAATTTTAATTTAAATAAAACAAGAATAACAAATCAACAAATTGCTACTGATTTATCTTGTCGTATTAACAACAATAACAACAATCATACACAACAACAACAACAACAACATCAATATGATGACGGCTCAATGATTGTTACCATGAACGGATATTCTAATTGTCATCTCAATCATCATCCTAATCATCACCAAGATCAACAACAATCAATGGATACATATTATAATTCAGTTACATCATCATCCGGATCATTAATTCAATCATCATCATCATCATCAACAGCGACAACATTTATGGAATATTTCAACAGTAACAATCATCATCAATCACCGCCATCATCTTCATCATCATCATCGTCGTCGTCATCGTCATCCGCATCATCTTTGGATTTGTCAAAGACAGTCAACAATATCTATCATCATCATCATCAGTATGGTGATAATGACAATTATTCAACATCTATAATAGGCGAAAATTATCATCAAAATCCACATCTGCAGCAGCAGCAACAACAAATATCAAATAGATATCATTTCAATATGATCATAGATCAAGAGAAAAAATTTACAATGAATTCAGTTGATATGATGATGATGACAAATTGGGAAACATCATTTTATCGATCACATCAACATCAGCAGCCACAACAACAGCAACAACAATTCATTGGGCAAGATAATAATCACGGAATGATAATCGATCCAAATGGATCGATTTTATCGAATACACCACCACAAACACCGGCAATAATAACAACAAAATTAGAAATACAAACAACCGATATAATCAATGATTATAATCAATAATTATCGATTTTTACAAATCAAAATTCAAACAAAAAAAAATCAAACCGAATTTTATTGATCTTTGATTCTAGGCAAAAAAAAACGATAAATTTGTACACGTGTTATTTATTTATTCTGCATATTATTTTTCTCATTCAAACATTTTTTTTCCTGGATTCATTTTCAATCCTTTCATTCATGTCTATCTATCTATGTGTGTGTGTGTTTATGTCTATCTCACAGAGCAATAATAACTATGTTTTTTTGAACGAAATTCATTTTCGTTTTCATTTTTTTTGTATATGAATAATTTCCTTGTCTTGTCTTGTCTTGTTTTTTTTCTGGTAAACGATGATAATAATGACGATTATAAATAAATAAATAAATGAAAAAAATATCAACAACAACAACAACAAGCCAAATGACCTAGATTATTATACATCACATCGTTATGTTATCACAGTGTAAAAAAAATACGAAAAAACAAAACGATTATATGAATGATGATGATGGTGGCGGGTTATTTTTTCTTGTTTACATTCATAAATGCAAAGTTCAAAGGCCAATAGGTAAAAAATATTCGATGAAAAAGTTCATCGTCCAAAAAAAAAAAACAAACGAAGAATCTGAATGAATGAACAAAACATAAGAGAAAACTGGTGAATGATGAAGAATTTTGGATGACCATTTTTTTGGTGTTTTTTTTTTTGTTCAAATTTGCTCAGGTATATCAGCAATTAACCATCAACACTTGTAATATACTTGAAATCAACCAAACAACATGGCTAGTCATTCCTAAAATTAATGTATGGACAAGAAATTCTTATCCACACATTTCTAATCTTTCAATCAATCAATCAACCGATCACTCGAATTGAATCAATTTTGAATTTGGTTATTAAAAGTTTTACTTGATTTCATATAAATCAAAAGAAAAAAAAATTGAAACAAATGGGATCGGTTTTCGTTGTAATATTATCAAGTGGCATCATCATTGATTCTTTTCCAATGAAAAGAACAAAAAGTTATTGCCAAAAACAGATAAAATAATTGTCTTTATTTTTTATTGATTGATTTTTTCGTTTGTTAGTTGATCAATTTTCAAGATCCACACACACACATATGACACCTTGATTGTTCAATGATCTTAAAGAGGCTTGAGATTGACAGCGATAGATTCATTGAAACCAAAATTGTGTCAGTGAATCAAAGAAGAAAAAGAAGCGAACAGAAATCCACTTGAATCATATGATCAAGCACCGATTCAGACATTTTTTTTCTATCACCGAAGAAAATATATCCTAATCATATTGATTTCTTTGCAATTCAAGCAAATTTGAAAGAATTCGAAAAATTTCAAAAAGAAAACTAAAATGGATGATGGTGGAAAAAAAGCAAAATTAATTTTCATCATCATCAGCCACCGACAGGAAAAAAAATCCACGAATATGGATGGCAACAAAAAAAAGATCATCAAAATGGGAAAAAATATATATAAAACTTTTGGATGAAACCATTTCATTGAAATTATCCTCAGCAAAAAAAAAGCTTTAGGGCAATTATCTCACTATGGTCTCATTTTTTTTTCGTAGATCTGGTTGATTGGTCCAAAAACCAAATTAAATACAGACCACCATCACCATCTACATCACACACACACACAAATAATGTCTGTTGGAAATCGAATCATTCCATACGAAAAAATGAAAATGAAATCAACTTAAGGGCATCCTCTCTTTTACACATGCTGTCACATATAAGCCTATATTTATTTCTGTTTGATATCAAAGATTCTGAATTGAAAATTGAATGAAAATAAAAAAATGATATTTTGAATGAAGTAAATTCATTCATTCACTATCGACGTCAACAGAAAAGAAAAATTCATATATTTTTTCTACTGAACAAAAAGAAGAAAAAATGCACCCATATCATTCAGGAATAGGAAATTCATATTTTCATTATTATTATCATCATCATCACACATGTGACACTTACACACACACACACACACACACACACACACACACACCAAATATATTCGAGTAGCGACGATATGGTTGGAAAAGAAAGAATTTTTCATTTCAATTTAAAATTAATGTTTGGTGGCTAAATATATGATTGATGTTGTTAGTGTTGAGTGTATGGAATCTCACCAGCTAACTTTTACATTCACTTTTACTTTCTCATTTTTTTCCAAATACAAAATCTCACTTCATTCACTTCAAGTAGAGTAGTTTTTCATTCTTGAAAATTTTATATTTTTTCATTTTTTTCTCTTTTTGTTGTTGTCGTAGTCGAGACCTATAATAAAGATGCTTAGAGAGAGAGAAAGAGAGAGAGAGAAACTTGAATTACTAAATGAATTACTAAGAGTAAAGTGATGTACTATTTGATTTTTTTGCGAAAACCCACACACACACACACAAATGAAGATGATAATGATAACTTCTAATTTTTCAACACTTTCACAATTTAATCATAATTGAAAATTTTCTATTTCCACATTGCATTATTGTTATCCTTGGCTTCAGTGCAATATTTCTCGTTGAAAATTTTTTGTTGTTGTTGTTGTCACTTAGATCCGATTAATGAATAACAAAAAACCTTATTTTTTTCTGAAATATAATAATCATCATATTTATGATTAAAATCTTTACAAGTATGAAGATTAATTTGTCGTTTATCATTCAAAAAAAAAAACAATTTTGATGATTGAAATTTTTTTTTCGTCATCATCGTTGTTGTTATTCAAGCCGGGCCACCAAAGTTGTTTTGGGCGCCAAAAAAGTGATGAATAAGTCGAAAATAATAAAGGAAAATCCTTCTTTGACAGCCGCGAATAGAACGCAAAAATCTTCGGGTGGTCGCTTTTCTGTTGAAATTAAACTGAGAAAAAAAAAATCTTAATTCTTTTTCTATTTGAAAAGTATTTAAATATATCTCATTATAAGTATGTGTGTGTGTGGTATTCTTAATTCTTACATCGTTAAAAACAAGCTATTTTAATGTTTTTCAATTGGAAAAAAAATTCCTGATATTCGAACGGAATTTTGAATTTTCAAAGTGAAAAGGAATTTTGGACATAAATTCTTTTGACAAATTTTTTTTTTGGATGATTATTGAACAAAATATCCCAAAGTTTCAAAGTTCATCATTTCAATAATGAACTTTTAACTTTTTGTTGTTGTTGTTTGTTCATTTTCAAATTATTATTGCCCAAAAAAATATATATAAAAATGATTCGGGCAAATCAAATGTTTGTTTGGTCTAGACACGATTTCTTGGTTACAATATTTTTTCCTTCGATTTTTACAAACGAAAAAGGCTATTCGATTTTTATTTTTTTGGGTGAGAGGACTAATAATGATTATAAAACTCATTGAAAATACAGTGTGAAAGCCAGAAATATTTTTCAGTAATGTTCATCATCAATCCATATGCAGAATTATTGAAAAAGGAAGCAATGAAGAAAATGAAAAAAATGCCGAACACATTTAGCAAGCTAATTTACATGTCATGGTTTTTGGTTGGTTGTTCGTAT